CCCAGGTTCGATTCCCCACATGTGCACTGTGTGTGAAGCCAATTTCTGGTGTCCCCTGCTGTGAAATTGCTGGAAAATTGCTAAGACGCAACTCACTCACTCACTCACTCACTCACTCACTCACTCACTCACTCACTCACTCACTCACTCACTCACTCACTCACTCACTTTCACACACTTTCACACACTTTCACACACTCACTCACTTTCACTCACTCACTCACTTTCACTCACTCACTCACTCACTCACTTTCACTCACTCACTCACTTTCACTCATTCACTCACTCACTCACTCACTCACTCACTCACTCACTCACTCACTCACTCACTCACTTGATTTACCTAACTTGGTTTGCCATGAAGACCCTGAAACAGTCCTACACAGTCTCTGCAAGTCTATGTCGCAAGTCTAGATCATTGCAGTTTCAGTTTTTGAAAAGTATTATCTCTCTTGGCTTCTATTTATCATATTTTTAAAATAAAATTCAACAAACAATTTTTCTATTAATTATCTTCGTTCAGAGACATCGTTTCGCCTTTAATGTTGCCGACATATTGAGATGTGAGTCACGACGCATCTTCCAAATGTCAGTGTAATTACAACTATAGCCATGGCTATTAAACTGGCTTTTATGACCAACAGTAGATGGCAGTCTTCCATCATCTAAATTATGCGATACTTTTAATGTCACTTTTAAGTTGATCTTTATTTCTGTATGGTATGTGATTTCATCATCTAGAAGCAGGGTGTACTGTGGAAGCCATCATGAACATGACTCTGATTAAATGATATCACTTTACCTTCAAAAACTAAAACGTGAGTCGTGTTCCTGCACACAGCGATCCCAAGGGTTCTTTTGCAAATGATGAAAAACATTCAGTACTAAATATTGGAAATATGGAGCAGTTCCATTATTGGTTTAATAAAGTGATTCAGATGATGCTGAGTGACGCTGTAAATCAATAACAATGAAATACCTGATACTATTTTCCTACCACTCACTCGCTGTCATTTACTGCCTTGGTTCAATCAATACATTGCCGATACAATTACAGAATTTCCCACCTGGCCATCGTTACTGCCGCAATGTACGTCTCTCGGTGTAACAATGACAAGGCGGGGATTAATGTTGAGTGCCTCCTGTCTGGTAATGCATCAAAGCACTGAATATTGGTTGTGTGGAAAAGGTTTTTGTTCAGTGTTCATTATGTATCATTATCATCTAAGTGAAAATTATTGTTGATGTGGACCAAATGTTGTTGAACTAATAAATAGATATCATGATGTTTAACTTTTTGGTTTATTTGGGGCCATTTTGAAAAGTAGTATTATACTATATATAGGTTTGGAATTGTGGTCAAAAATTTCATGTTTGGCATTTGGGAGGGCTTTGCTGTACAAATACGATAAATATGTAAAACTGTTGAATTTATAGAATATTTGAATGCTCAACAAAGTTTACATATCAAATGATGTATGTTTTAGCATCTGTTTTTTGGTGTGTGTGTGTTTTTTTTGGTTTTTCTGTCAATCATGAGAAGGGTTAGCTTAAGTGAGGTCGATATTAATAAGTGCAACACCTGTTGCCATATTTGGTCATGGAATTGATACCATTCAGGACAGACACCTGTTGCATCAACTCTTTAGAATAATACTTTTGCATATTTCCTTTGCGTTGTCAAGCCAGTCAATATGCTCAACACACAGAAGGCACAGAATGTGGTTCACTCAGTCAATCATAACAAATAACAGAAGTTCAGAATCAACACCTACATATGAGCTTTAAAGCTGGTATTTGCAGAACTGGTCTTGTAGAGGACATTGTGTTAGAGGCAGCCACAGTGGTATAAGCATAATTGACAATGTGTCAGATAGAAAAACCCAAAACAAGAGACCTGTATTGTCAGATAGGCACAACCAGCACAACCACCTGTATTATCAAATAGATACAACTACCCCAAGCACCTGTATTATCACATAGATACAACCACCACAAGCACATGTATTGTCAGATAGACAATCCATCCCTCCACCAACAACTATCACCTGTATTATCTGATAGACACAACCACCACCAGCACCTGTATTATCTGATAGACACAACCACCACTAGCACCTGTATTATCTGATAGACCCAACCACCACTAGCACCTGTATTATCAGATAGACCCAACCACCACTAGCACCAACCACCACAAGCACCTGTATTATCAGATAGACCCAACCACCACTAGCACCTGTATTATCAGATAGACCCAACCACCACTAGCACCTGTATTATCAGATAGACCCAACCACCACTAGCACCTGTATTATCAGATAGACCCAACCACCACTAGCACCTGTATTATCAGATAGACCCAACCACCACAAGCACCTGTATTGTCAGATAGACCCAACCACCACAAGCACCTGTATTATCAGATAGACCCAACCGCCACAAGCACCTGTATTCTCAGATAGACCCAACCACCACTAGCACCTGTATTACCAGATTAATCCAACCACCACAAGCACCTGTATTATCCGATAGACACAAACACTACAAGCACTTGTATTATCAGATAGACCCAACCACCACAAGCACCTGTATTATCAGATAGACACAAACACTACAAGCACCTGTATTATCTGATAGACCCAACCGCCACAAGCACCTGTATTATCAGATAGACCCAACCACCACAAGCACCTGTATTACCAGATAAATCCAACCACCACAAGCACCTGTATTATCTGATAGACACAAACACCACAAGCACCTGTATTACCAGATAAATCCAACCACCACAAGCACCTGTATTATCTGATAGACACAAACACTACAAGCACCTGTATTATCAGATAGACCCAACCACCACAAGCACCTGTATTATCAGATAGACCCAACCACCACAAGCACCTGTATTATCAGATAGACCCAACCACCACAAGCACCTGTATTCTCAAATAGACCCAACCACCACTAGCACCTGTATAATCTGATAGACACAAACACTACAAGCACCTGTATTATCAGATAGACCCAACCACCACAAGCACCTGTATTATCAGATAGACCCAACCACCACAAGCACCTGTATTCTCAAATAGACCCAACCACCACTAGCACCTGCATAATCTGATAGACACAAACACTACAAGCACCTGTTTTATCAGATAGACCCAACCACCACAAGCACCTGTATTATCAGATAGACCCAACCACCACAAGCACCTGTATTATCAGATAGACCCAACCACCACAAGCACCTGTATTATCAGATATCACCTGATAGACCCAACCACCACAAGCACCTGTATTATCAGATAGACACAAACACTACAAGCACCTGTATTATCAGATAGACCCAACCACCACAAGCACCTGTATTATCAGATAGACACAAGCACCACCACAAGCACCTGTATTATCAGATAGACCCAACCACCACAAGCACCTGTATTATCACACACAAGCACCTGTATTTATCAGATGTACAAGCACCTGTATCAGATCAGATAGACTGTATTACCAACCACCACAAGCACCTGTATTATCAGATAGACACAACCACCACAAGCACCTGTCAGATTATCACCATAGCACACTGATAGACAACACCACAAGCACCTGTATTATCAGATAGACCCAACCACCACAAGCACCTGTATTATCAGATAGACCCAACCACCACAAGCACCTGTATTATCAGATAGACCCAACCACCACAAGCACCTGTATTATCAGATAGACCCAACCACCACAAGCACCTGTATTATCAGATAGACCCAACCGCCACTAGCACCTGTATTATCAGATAGACAGAAACACCATTAGCACCTGTATTATCAGATAGACACAAACACCACTAGCACCTGTATTATCAGATAGACAGAACCGCCACAAGCACCACAGATAGCACCTGTATTATCAGATCAGATAGTATTATCAGAGAACACAACCACCACAAGCACCTGTATTATCAGATAGACACAACCACCACAAGCACCTGTATTATCAGATAGACACAAGCACCACAAGCACCTGTATTATTATCAGATCAGATAAACACAACAAAGCACTGTATTATGAGATAGACACAAAGCACCTGTATTATCAGATAGACACAATCACCACAAGCACCTGTATTATCAGATAAACAACCACCTGTATTATCAGATAGACACAAGCACCTGTATTAACAGATAGCACAACCACCACAAGCACCTGTATTATCAGATAGACACAATCACCACAAGCACCTGTATTATCAGATAGACACAACCGCCACAAGCACCTGTATTATGAGATAGACACAAACACCTGTATTATCAGATAGACACAATCACCACAAGCACCTGTATTATCAGATAGACAAAACCGTCACAAGCACCTGTATTATCAGATAAACACAACCGCCACAAGCACCTGTATTATGAGATAGACACAAACACCTGTATTATCAGATAGACACAAAAACCACAAGCACCTGTCTTTATGTATTGTGTTGATAGATTATGCATATGTCAATGCATTTTGTTTATGGATTTTGTCAATGCATTGTGTTGGTGGATTATGTTAATACATTTTGTTAGTAGATTATGTCATTACATTGTGTTGATCCTGCAAGTTAATCCATTGTGTTGAGACTGTTTTGATTTTCTGTTTTGACACATTGTGTTGTTAATTTCATCCATACGTCATGTGTAATCTGTAGTGTATAATGATCACAATCAAAGATTTGGGGCAATGTGTCATACATCATGTCAGTAGATATTATGTTGATGCATGGTGTCAATATGTTTGGTTTGTACATTATGTTTATTCATTGTGATGATAAATAATTTGTCAATACATTGTGTTGATGCATTTATTGGATACATTGTGTTAAGACATTGTATCAGTTTGTTGTATTGTATCAATAGCTGTAGTCAGCTTACATTATTCACCACTTCTGTCTCTCTCCCAGTTTGATGGAGTTAAGCAAATGAATATATATCGCACAAATGTTGTATTAGGACAACATTGAATCCACGTCCGTCCTTCATTTGGATGTTTTGCGAGGATTATGCATTACTGTTTAAAGAATTATGGGCTTAACAATTAATGCCACTCTGTGTCCATGTTTCTGTCTGGCACTTTTAGTTCCTCTGTTGCTGACAGTGAGTTGACGTCCATATATGTCTGTATTCTCTAGACAATATATCCCGCCTGGTGTATATCACAGTTCCACATGGCCACTACCCACACTATATCCTCTTTATAGCCAACAGCTGTTGCTTCCATTCCGAGTAACACAATGTCATCTCTTGTTTACCAAAATACAATGAATTTGATGAAATTTCCTGTTAGATTAGGTGCTGCTTCAGAAGTGTCTCCTGCCTTGCAGCTGTTTGGTTGGTGTAGTTCTTCATCTCCATAACACGAGTCATTTCTGTGTAATGTCGTGATGAAAAAAGCACCTAATTGCATTGTGGCCTATATCCAACCTGTAATTCCAGGCGTCCATGGATTTGATAACCATAATGAGAGATTGTGCCGGAGTTAGTGAAGCAGAGCCACTCACTGCAGCGTGTTGGCCGGCGCCGTACGGCCTTATTAACACATAGCGCCTTTCCTGGGTCGATCGGGGAGTTTAATATTACTCATGTGCTTTATTAAATAGGATTCTGTAACAGTGACAGAGCGAAGACACTTGAATATCTGAGTCTGGTGATTGACATTTTGTCTGGATTCACTGCAGTAGTGCTGTGTAAATATTGCTGAAGTGATGCACTCGTGTTAAGCCGGGAGGACATCTCCAGAGGAACAACGGCATAAAATCATGCTCTTTGCCGAACTGTGAGTAAACTTGAGATTTATTTATTCAACAGGTGTTTTAGAGGCTTAATTGATTTGTGGATCAAAAACATTGAAATGTGGTATGAAATGTGGTTTTATAAGTCATGTTGTCCTATTATCTTTAGTTCCTGGAAATCAAGGTGACAGCAGAACAGGTGGAGAGGAGTCCAACATTGCCATATCATGGGTCATATGACAGCGTTTGAACCCAACATGGTCATGTTTGTATTGATCATATTCCAGGCCAATTTTGATTAGGCATATATCCATTCATATGATAATTATGTAGCAAGTGTAATATGATTTAGTTAACACTTGAGGTGTCATATCAGTTCTGTCACAACACATCTGTGTTAAACATATAGCCATGTTACGATGATATGATTCAGCTAACACCTGAGGTGTCATATCAGTTCTGACGTAACACATCTGTGTTAAACATATAGTCATGTTATGATGATATAATTCAGTTAACACCTGAGGTGTCATATCGGTTTATCAAAACACATCTGTGTTAAACATATAGTCATGTTATGATGATATAATTCAGTTAACACCTGTATCAGTTTTATCAAAACACATCTGCATTAAACATATAGCCAAGTTAGATGATATGATTCATGGAATGCCCAGTGTGTGATATGAAGTTATCTCCGTTTGCACCCAGTTTGTGATATGATGGTTATCTCAACCCACCTGTGTTAGATATGTAACTGCCAGTGAAGATCCAGGTTACAATTGGTCATCAGCAACCAATGCTTGTCTTTAGAGGCAGTCATATCTTGAATGCTTAGATTGTCACTCATGATGTCAATCATTGGATTGTCGGGTCCAGACTTGCTTACTTACAGACTGTCATCATAGATCTAGAAAACTGAGTGTGGTGTTGAACTACGAACAAACAGTGAATTATGATGATTACGATAGAGATTCCTTTAACACCTACAATGGTTAACTCTATTAGCACCCAGTGACATGATGGATATCTGCAGCAAATGTGTGTTCCATATATAGCCAGGTATAAAGATAAGATAACATCCAGCATGTGATATGATGGTTGTTTCTGTTACCATCCAGTGTGTGATATGATGGTTGTCTCTGTTAACATCCAGTGTGTGATATGATGGTTATCTCTGTTACCATCCAGTGTGTGATATGATGGTTGTCTCTGTTAACATCCAGTGTGTGATATGATGGTTATCTCTGTTAACACCCAGTGTGTGATATGATGGTTGTCTCCATTAACATCCAGTGTGTGATATGATGGTTATCTCTGTTAACATCCTGAGTGTGATATGATGGTTATCTCTGTTACCATCCAGTGTGTGATATGATGGTTGTCTCTGTTACTATCCAGTGTGTGATATGATGGTTATCTCTGTTACCATCGAGTTAGTGATATGATAGTTATCTCCGTTAACACCCAGTGTGTGATATGATGGTTGTCTCCATTAACATCCAGTGTGTGATATGATGGTTGTCTCCATTAACATCCAGTGTGTGATATGATGGTTGTCTCCATTAACATCCAGTGTGTGATATGATGGTTGTCTCCATTTACATCCAGTGTGTGATATAATGGTTGTCTCCATTAACATCCAGTGTGTGATATGATGGTTGTCTCCGCTAACATCCAGTGTGTGATATGATGGTTGTCTCCATTTACATCCAGTGTGTGATATAATGGTTGTCTCCATTAACATCCAGTGTGTGATATGATGGTTGTCTCCATTTACATCCAGTGTGTGATATAATGGTTGTCTCCATTAACATCCAGTGTGTGATATGATGGTTATCTCCATTAACATCCAGTGTGTGATATGATGGTTGTCTCCATTAACATCCAGTGTGTGATATATGATGGTTGTCTCCATTAACATCCAGTGTGTGATATGATGGTTGTCTCCATTAACATCCAGTGTGTGATATGATGGTTGTCTCCATTAACATCCAGTGTGTGATATGATGGTTATCTCCATTAACATCCAGTGTGTGATATGATGGTTGTCTCCATTAACATCCAGTGTGTGATATGATGGTTGTCTCCATTAACATCCAGTGTGTGATATGATGGTTGTCTCCATTTACATCCAGTGTGTGATATGATGGTTGTTCCATTTACATCCATTATGACATCCAGTGTGTGACATGATGGTTGTCTCCATTAACATCCAGTGTGTGATATGATGGTTGTCTCCATTAACATCCAGTGTGTGATATGATGGTTGTCTCCATTAACATCCAGTGTGTGATATGATGGTTGTCTCCATTAACACCCAGTGTGATATGATGGTTGTCTCCATTAACATCAGTGTGTGATATGATGGTTATCTCCATTAACATCCAGTCACAAATTGTTGAGGCCTTCACCAAATGCATAGGGCTTTACCTATACCATCATGTATGTTTTAATAAGTTGTGTATAGCGTTTCACATAGCATGCACATCTTAATGTGATGTTTAGGGCTTCACATAGCATGTACATCTTAATGTGATGTTTAGGGCTTCACCTAGCATGTAGATCTTAATGTGATGTACAGGGCTTCATGTATCATGTAGATCTTAATGTAATGTTTAAGGCTTCACATAGTATGTAGATCTTAATGTGATATATCGGGCTTCACATTAGGTGTAGATCTTAACATGATTTTTTAGAGCTTCACATGGCATAGAGGTCTTAAGTGATGTATAGGGCTTCACATAGTATATATGGCGTCACATGTGATGTTTAGAGCTTCACATGGCATGTAGGTCTTAAAGTGATGTATAGGGCTTCACATTGGGTGTAGATCTTAATGTGATATATCGGGCTTCACATTAGGTGTAGATCTTAACATGATTTTTTAGAGCTTCACATGGCATAGAGGTCTTAATATAGGGCTTCACATAGTATATATGGCGTCACATGTGATGTTTAGAGCTTCACATGGCATGTAGGTCTTAAAGTGATGTATAGGGCTTCACATAGTATGCAGGACTTAACATGATTTAGGGCTTCACATGGCATAGAGGTCTTGAAAGGACAGTATGTTGATGGCCCAGTGTGTTTTTAAATATTTTGCATGTGTGATGTCACACCTTCTGTTCATATCCACTTCAGTTCTCAGACCAAAACAATAGAGCTCTGCAACCCAAGTGCTGTGTAGCATATAATGGCTTCCATCATGTTTGTGATTGGAGCCAAACAGATGAGAACTCTCCTGTGTTTTTCTGACGGATGAGTTACAAATCACTAATGGCATGCTTGATTAGATTAGAAACCAGGGTTTACCAGAGCCCAGAACATTAATATATATATTTGCCTCGGTCATATGAAGCTAATGGCTATCCTACCCAGAGTTCCTGGTGGCCTGCCGAGTGCCTCTGTCTCATTGTCAGATCTTACTCATGTGTGTTTCATCTGATTAATTTTGTTGAGTCAACACATTTAGATCAACAGGTAGCATGAAATGTTCATGAGTGAGTGAGTGAGTGAGTTTAGTTTTATGCCGCACTCCAATATTCCAGCTATGTGGCGGCGGTCTTTAAATAATCAAGTCTTGACCAAACAATCCAGTGATCAACAGCATGAACATCGATCTGCGCAATTGGGAACCGATGACATGTGTCAACCAAGCCAGCGAGCCTGACCACCCGATCCCGTTAGTGGCCTCTTACGACAAGCATGGGTTGCTGAAGACGAAGAAGCATGGGTTGATGATGGTATGATTATAGAACAAGAACCTGCCATTTAGGCATTGTTGGAATTGCAGGAACAGCATTGATAGACTTGTCAGAATACATTTGTTATCCTGTGAAGTATTCAGCAGTAGTCTACACATTTAGATCAACATGTAGCGTGAAATGTTTACCTTAAATTGAAAAAAATATCCAAACACAGGAACATCTTTTTCCATTTGCATTTTTATCATACAGTGGCTGTCCTCCAAGCCCTACAGTGAGATACTATCTGCTTTGTCTTGCCCCTTAGTGTTGCAGCTGTAGAAGCAGATGCATATGTTCATGCAGAACAGCATGTCAAAGTCAAAGATGTTTATTGTACAAAAGGCCTCCGGCCCATATACATTGGAGTTATACATATACATTATACATATGGTGCAATAAGTAGTAATTAGTGATCCAAACAGCAAATCATGATACAGGCAGTAAATTATGTACAAGTAGTGAAATACGATGGGTCTACAAAACTTTTTATCAGATTGCTACGTTTAATAAGAGCATAATTGGTATAGTACGACAGCTTTATTATTACACGCTGGTCAGTTGATGAAAGAAGTAGTTTAAATGCTAATGTAGGTGGCTTACATAGATAATATTCAGCTATATATTTCGTACGCAAATCTTTATACAAAGGACATACAAGTAAAAAATGGATTTCATTTTCTACATCTATATTACACAGTGGGCACATTCTCTTGCATCGTTCAATATAAAAACATCTTCCTTCGTTTACCATTATGTTGTTCAAACCTAACCTAAAATGTATAAATGGATATCTTAATTTCTTTGATGTTAAAAAACGACAGATATTTCTCCGGCTGGAGTAGTGATTTGTATATTCTATAAGAGTCAAACCGTGAACTATTATCTATTACTGAATACCATTCTTGATTAAACATATTAAGACTTCTTTCTCGAAACTGAGATAAAAACAAACTTGCATCACCTACTGACTGACTTGTCAAGAGTACTGGAAGGCTTGCATTGGGGCCGTCTGTTCAGTAGTAGCAGATCCATATGTTCATACAGAACAACATGTCAAGAGTACTGGAAGGCTTGCATGTGGGCTGTCTGTTCAGTAGTAGCAGATCCATATTTTCATGCAGAACAACATGTCAAGAGTACTGGAAGGCTTGCATGTGGGCTGTCTGTTCAGTAGTAGCAGATCCATATTTTCATGCAGAACAACATGTCAAGAGTACTGGAAGGCTTGCACTGGGGCCGTCTGTTCAGTAGTAGCAGATCCATATTTTCATGCAGAACAACATGTCAAGAGTACT